CTGCGATCCTCAGATCTCAGCCTCCTGAGTCACTAGGATTATAGGCATGAAACACCAGCACCTGACTCTTACCAAGTTTTTGAAGGTTGAAGAAATTAGGTAAGAAAATGGGCTTTTTGGCCTCAGAGCTGTTGGGGAAGTTAGCATGCTCAGAAGCACAAAAGTCAGGTGTGTGGAGCAGACACTGGAGCAGGGTGCAGGCTGCATGAGGGGTGGTGCCACCAGAAGAGGGAAGACCCTGACAGCCCTGGGTGCTGGATGAAGGGTGTGGAGTTATTCTGCAAACATACGTATTAGCTTCATTTTCACACAAACAACCAAAGTGTAGGAGAGACTTATTTTGGCTCCTGGTTTCAGGGGTGTCAGTCTGTGGTGTCTGGCCTTTGTTTCTGGGTCATCATGAGGTAAAGCATGATGGCAGGAGCAGGAGTGGAGAAGGGTCTTTTATGGTGAACAGGAAGCAGAGAGACATAGAAGGACCCTTAATAAGATACAGTTCCCAAGGACTAGTGATCTATTTCCTCCTAAACTTTCAACCACATCCCCAAATAGCACTACAAGTTAGGAACCAAAGGTTATACATGAGCCTAGGGGGATATTTCATATTCAAACCGCAACAACATACAGAACCGTAAAAGAAAATGCACACTAGGAGACTACGAGACATGACTGTCTCTCAGGACATTTACATTGGCAGGACATGAAGAATAAATTGGAGGAAGTTGAAATTAGCTGAAATGTGCCTTTCAGATTAGCTGAAAGTTTCTGTGCTAGTGCTGCTTCAGGCTTGAGGGGGTGTTAGTGACAGTTCCCAGGGGCTGAAAGGGATGGATGCCCCTTAGGGGTGAGAAGTTCAGAGAGGAGAATAGTGTACAGTGTGTGTGGAGATGAGGGTGATTTTGAATATGTGGAGTTTGAAATTTTGGTATGGAGATTTTTTTTGGAGAAAGTAGAAATGAGTAATACATCAGAGGCTAAAACGTTAAGTTGGTAGTCAATTACATAAAGGTGAAAAATGAAAAGAGATTCTGTGAGGGGTGTTGAGACCCTACCTCCACTCAGAGGGAGAGGTGACTGAGCCTGGAAAGCAAAGAACAAATCCTTTCTTAAAGCTTTCTCTTAAACTGACCTAGTGAGAAACATAACCAAGCGTGTTCTTGTTTTGAATAGATAAATCCTTGATTAATTATTGTTAGTACAAGTCTTCTACAAATACAAGAAAGGAAACAATTCTTTTTTTTGAACTCTTAATAATTTGGCCAAAAAATTGAATGGCAAGGGAAACGAACAACCCAGTAAATTCATGGCTACTTACTGTATTACAAAGTTGTTTCCAGTAGTAGCAGTGGACAGATAGTACTTTTTAGTGTCAGACTTCATTGTAGGCCTTCTATTCATAGAACTCTGTTGTTTTCAGAGCTGATAGTTAACGTTAAACAGTTTGTTTCAAATGCATTTTTAAAAACATACAGAAATACTTTGATGGGATACCTTTATAGTATGAATTTGAAAAACAGGGTCTGTTTGACCAAGTACTTCCTTAAACATTTGAAATACATTTTTGTCTCCTCTTCTGTGGTTTAAAATGCCTTCAACAGGTTGAAAGAATTTAGATAATTTGTTTTACAGAGAGATAAGGGTCTGACATTTAACACAACCCCAGGTGCGTGTGGTTTCTTAAAAAATGTCAAAAAGGTCACATGCTTTTAGTGTACAGAGTCAGAAAAACAAGATCTTTTTGAGTGCCTTAACTGAAATGGAGCATAAATAAAAATTCCCAATACAAAAAGCTAGACATTAGTTAGTTATTATAAAGTTAATTTGTATGTCTGTCCATCTCTGCTAATAATAGTACATCTTGATATGCAATTTGCTAAATTTTTGTTTTGTTATTATAATCTGAAACTTAAATTTTTTCACATTTTTTTATTGTTTTCTTACCAAAAAAAATTTTTTTTGGGGGGGTCCAGTAGTGGGGCCTGAACTCTGGGCCTGGGTGCTGTCCCTCAGCTCTTCAGCTCAAGGCTAGCTCTCTACCACTTGAGCCACAGCGCCACTTCTGGCTTTTTTTCTTTTTGCTTATGTGGTGCTGGGAATCGAACCCAGGGCCTCAGGCATGCAAGGCAAGCGCTCTACCACTGAGCCACCTTCCCAGCCCCCCCACCAAAATTTTTATACTGACTTTTGCACTATGAAGTTCAACACTGGGAATATTCATGCTTTCATAAGTATGTTACAACTACATTTTACATGCTTGAGTTTATCTCAAGTGCTAGTGGGATGGATTTCATCATAATAGAAATCATTATTTTCTAAAAAGTAACAGGCTTTAAAGAAAGATAAATCATTCATTTTTTTGTGAAGCCAATTCATCCACTTTGAACAGTGGTCTGTATCAGGACTATCCTTGCGGAAATGTACATAGCTATGTTGTTCATCTCCATTTTTCGAAAGAAACATACACACACATAATATATATACATATCTTATGTATATATATATATATATATACAGATTACATATCTATATTCATCTCCATTTAAAAAGGAACCATTTCTGTGTAATATGTATAAATGAATGAAGATATACAGTAGTTTCACAATGAATATTTTATTTAAGTGAAAGGGCATAATGAAGACT